ATTTGGAACCGATTCCTTAAAAAAAAAAAAAAAAAAAAACATTAAAATTATTTTATTATTTAATTTATATCATATGTTTGTATTAATATTTATATTATAATTCATAAATAAATAATTAAATTATTTAATTAATTGATACAATACATGGGTTTCTGCATCATTTTTTTAAGTGTTTTCAGTGCTTTTGTTCAATGTTTGTGCTAAAACACCCCTGACATAATTAGATGGCCCGTGTCACATGGCACTGGCTCAACCAATGGCATGAGTCGGGGGAGGGGCTGCATGTTTGTCTGACCAATAGCAGATCTGGAGTGTTTGAGAAACCTGTTAGAAAACAAAAAACAACTAAATTTTTGCTGAAACTACACTTCACCTTTAAGTGGATTTTTCTGGATCAGGAAGTTTCTCTGCTCTGCTGACCAGTTTTCATAGAGTCTCAATAACTCAAATACACTATTTTTTTTTTTGCAAAGAATCTAATCTTTTTTTTTATTCAACAAGAACGCATTATATTGGTCAAAAGTGACAGTAAAAACATTTATAACATTACAAAAGATTTTCTATTTCAAATAAACGCTGTACTTTTGAACTTTCTATTCTTTAAAGAATCCAGAGAAATAAAATGCATCACGATTTCCATAAAGATGTGAAGCAGCAGAACTGTTTAGTTTTTTTTTTTTTTTACAACATTGATAATAATCAGAAATATTTCTTGTGGAGAAAATCAGCATATTAGAATGATTTTAATAGCTATTCAAATATATGAATATATTTTAAAATGTAATTTATTTCTGTGATCAAAGCTGAATTTTCAGCATCATTACTCCAGTCTTCAGTGTCACATGATCGTCAGAAATCATTCTAATATGCTGATTTGATGCTCAATTGTTATCAATTAGTGCTCAATTATTAATAATGGTTCTTCTTATTATCAATCTAAAAAAAAAAGTTTTTGCTGCTTATTATTTTGTAGAAACCTGGACATATTTTTTTTCTTTCTTTCTTTCTTTCTTTCTTTGATTTATAGAGTTGTTTTGTAACATTATAAATGTTTTTTTTTCTGTCACTTTAAATAAATAAATAAATAATCAAATAAATAAATAAATGAATAAAATTGAATAGTAGTGCATCACAGTTTCCAAATATATTAGAATTATTTCTGAAGGATCATGTGACATCGACTTTGCCATCACAGAATAAACTTCTTAAAAAAAACCAAAACATTTTAATAAAAAACTGTTATTTTAAATTGTAATAATAATTCAATATTACTGTTTTCACTATATTTTTGATCAAATAAATGCAGACTTGGTGAGCGGAAGAGACTTCTTTCAAAAAATGAAAATCCTAATTATTCCAAACTTTTTGACTGGTAGTGTAGAATGATTATTATTAAAAGTTTATAGTTATTGTGAACGGCCCTCATGGTCACTAGGTGAGATGTTTATTTTAGAGAAAGGCTGTAAATCTTACCTGGAAGGTGACGGGCTGATAGATGTCAGACAGGCGGAACTGCTTGAGGAAGCGTTCATCCTCGCTCCAGAAAAGTCGGATATCAGGGATCCCGAACAGAACCATAGCCAGCCTCTCCAGCCCCAGACCAAACGCCCAACCCATCTTATTCCCAGCACCAGCTGCAGAAGAAACGAACAACTGAGTGGAAAACCTACTCATTTTATTATTTGCTCCTCAAGAGTGTGACATTCTGTCACGCAAAGACAAATGTTTCAACAAGGATGAATGCAACTAGTCAAAACAAATCCACCCGAATCCAAACCTTGACGTTCTTCTGTTGTGTTGCAGCATGTAAATATAAACCCTTTTAGTCAACCTGAAAGCAAAACCCACCTTTCAAGGAACGTTTTTGATTATATTGTGGATGATTCATCGGTTCATGTTATTCCAAATAAAACTAAAATGTTCCATAATCTTTCATGAAAACACAATAACCTTCACCTCTACTTTGGCTCCTCTCCTACTTTTCACCAGCCAATCAATTCCCAAATATATTGATTGTCACTGAATATTTAGTTTCACTCATTCATACATTAGATGAAGTCAAATATAATGCATTACTAAGTAATTAATTACTTTTCCCTTGAAAAAGTAAAGTAAGGAATTACTTTAGATTTTTCTGTCATTTAATTACAGTTACTTCTGTTGTAATTGCATTAAATACTATATAGACTACAGAACAATTCCATATAAAACATCTAATGTTATATGTTTTTAATGTAACCTTCTCTCTTTAAATACTTTGGTCAGTTCAAAAATAATGCATGGAATTTTGTATTATTAATTTGAAAGAATTAAAGAGCAGTTTCATGTCTATCCTTGTATTGTTCAACTGGTCGAGGCTGATTTGGGCTTCAGAAAGTAATTAGTAAGAAGTAATGCAATATTTTTAGAGAAGGTAATTAGTACAGTAATCCAATTACAATGCAGAAGATGTCATTTGTAGTTAGTAATTAATTACTTTTTTAGAGTAACTTACCCAGCACTGATTGCGAATGATGTTTCACGCTGACTTCAACTCATATGACAGCATATTAAATGCATCTAATTGTGTTTTACATTTATGCATTTAGCAGTCACTTTTATCCAAAGCAATTTTTCAAGCAATCAACAATATTTGCAATACACAAAGCCAGGTTTATTGATGAGCAGATTACGAAGCAAGCATGAGAAGAGGAGAAATCCAGAGAAGAAAAGTTGTTTTTATTTATTTTTAAGGTCCACAAGTCGAGGAGTTATTAAGATTGGCAGTCAGCGACAAAGCTGTGTGGCTCTCAGGCGATCAGTGCTGGAAGTAGTGCCGCTATTTCTGATGTGATTATAGTCATTATTTGCTTTGCAACCCTGTATGACCTATGGTGAGCGGAAGAGTGAACAAACAGAATTTTCTTCTCTTTTCCCATCTTTCTCTCTCTCTCTCGCGTCACTGTTTAACCCAGTGAGGCATTCCTTCAGATGTGAGGGAAATGTGCTTTATATGTTAATGAAGGGAATACTCAGGGGTCAAAGCCTGGCTCAGCCAGACGCGACAGAAACCGGAATAAATCTACCTTCACACGTACAAATCAATCAACTCTCCCTTCCTTTCCCAAGTGGAGGCATTAACGATTCTGACCTCTCTCAAGACCACCGAATTAACATTTTGTTTCAAATACTCATTTAACCAATTGCAGAAAATAATAATAATAAAAAAAAAAAAAAAAACTGTTCGTTTTAATTGTCTCCAAGCTTGAATAAGCATGACCTGATTTGAGTGCGAGCTTGAATTTGATTTAAATACATGATTTCTCTGAAGAAATAATTCAAGCCACAATAATTGGGTGTTGTTGCTAAGTGGTTGTTCTTGGTGCTTTTTATTGGCCTTAGTCAACTTAAACTTCTATTGGACCAGTTCACCAAATTGGACTGAATCATCTGAAACAGTTTGTGACTCGAGCAGCACAGATCTATGAGTTACCCAATCAAAACTCACTTTCGGACACCTGACAGTCGCTCAGACTGGAAATGAGTCAAAATACTGGCGTATTTGACCCTATGATGAATGAATGAATTGGTTCTCGTGAGACTAGCATATTCTCACCGTTTATACAGTTTTAAATATGGATATTTTTTAGGGATGCACGATATATCGGCCACCATATCGGTATCGGCCGATAAATGCTAATTTTTTCTGTTATCGGTATCGGCCCGATAAGAAAATTTGGCCGATATCTTAAAGCCGATAAATAATGCATTATTTCCTTCAGAGACACTTCAGATGCGCACTGTTCGTTTGCAGCCTTTTGTGCAATTGTACGTTGTAATATTGTGTTTATTTGATGTATATCTGATTTATCTCATATAGAATGCGTTTGGTTAAGTTAAAAGAGTGCTTCAGTTTACCGGTGATCATCTTTAGCTCAGCGCACGCAGCTCAAACAGCAGTGCACAACATTAATAACTATGATTGAGAATGTCGTGTATATAACATTCTATTGAGGACATTATTATAATAAAACGTTGTGAATTCTTTGGGTTTAGTTGCTGTGTTTCAGCGCGTTGTTATGGGAAGAGCGCAACCACAACAGGATCATACATTCTGACTATAGCACGCAATTTAGTAATTAAAATCATTTAATTATTGTCCGTGCAGAGGCTATTCCGTTTTATTGATCTATGGCGCATTCATTTTGATTCTTTACACATGTAATGATGTCCAGTGACTTGTTTGCATTATTTATGCATTATTTTATTTATTTTTATTACTTTTTTATGACTAAATTTGGTAATGGGAGAGTAAAATTATTTTTAAAACGTACACCGTTCAAACTACGCTGCTTATGTTGAAGTGTCTGGGATGTGGCTTTTAATAATGAGACCTTTTTTGTAATCAGGCTATGTGGCTTTTAATGATGACACCTTTTTTGTAATCAGGCTCTGAAAAAGTATATAAACATTTGGATATATATTTATCGGCCAACATATCGGTTATCGGCTTTCAAAAATAAAGAATTATCGGTTATCGGTATCGGCCAAAATTTTCATATCAGTGTATCCCTAATAGTTTTCTTACACAAATGCATCGCTTCGCTTCAGAAGGCCTTCATTAACCCCCCGGAGCTGTGTGGAGAACTTTTTATGATGGATGGATGCACTATATTTTGCCTCAAATTCTCGACCATCATTGACTGCCATTATAAAGCTTGGAAGAGCCAGGTCAATTTTAAAGGTCCCAAATTTTACACCTTTCTGGAGTTTTATTTTAGGTTTTGATGTCCTTGACGTCACAGCGCTAGCTGGAGGCAGCAAAACAAAGGGGAAACTGGAGGCGGCCCATTCAAACTAGCGCAGATTCGGCTACATAAGGAGCTTAAAATATCATCTTGTTGTGATGTTGGGTGCCAGCATCGACGCAATATAGCCTCAAATTAGAAATTTAATCGCATATCTGCTGTCACTGCCAGACAAAAAACCGTGGGCGGTGCTCGGGGTGGTGACTGAAGGTGATGACTGTGTAGTTCTGACGTCAACTTTTTACGGAAGTCACAACGGTTCATGAAAAAATCACAGCTACTTTATGCAGGCTGTGTGAATTTTACTGTGGATTGACTGTTTTGAAACTTATATGGTAGTTAAATAGCACCTAGACCTCAGTTATCATGAAAAAAGCCAGGAAATTTCAGTTTTGACAATGTGGGACCTTTAATATAACTCTGATTGTATTGATCTGAAAGAAGAAAGCCATATCCCTTTCAATTCTGTGGCGAAAAAACACATTTTTATTGTGGACTGAATTTCATCATGTGATTTTCTGCCATTCATTGTGCAACAAGTTGTTACGTCAGGCGACTAAAAGACTTCATTAAAATGTGTTTGGATTTTGGATAGATTTCAATACTACCCCAGCGAATTGGGGAATTGTACATGATTTTGTGTTGTTATATGAAAACAAATAAGAAATGTTTCTTGAGCAGCAAATCAGCATATTAGAATGATTTCTGAAGATCATGTGACACCGAAGACTGGAGTAATGATGCTGAAAATTCAGCTGCGCATTAGAGCAATAAATTACATTCTAAAAGTTGAGCAGTTTTTTTTTTTGTACATTTCGTCAATGGCGAAAATGAAAGCCTTCTGCGCATTTTGAGGCATCATTCACATCCACAGCATGCTTGTAGCGTGACATGAATGCAGTATGAGCAATAGTCGCACTGATGCCTGCTTTAGCAAGCACATCTAATTACATGGATGATGATGTTGAAGGAAGGAAGACTCCACTAGAGTCGCTGCGGCGCTGAGCTTTGGATTGATGGGCGGGCTGATTGCTATCACTCGTCTGTCAGTGGAAATCACGAGCACATCCAGGGAGATAAAAGAGAGGTGTAAAGCGCTGTGACATGGCTAAGAGTGAAGCGGATGGGTGCCAACACACACACACACACAGCCAGAAGCCGGCACGAATCTGAATGACCTCAGATAAACGCCACAGCCTCGCGTTTCCCCTCCCTTCTTGAGACGATGATGTCAGATGCACTCGTAGCCAATCGGTGCACAGGGGGCGGGAGCGGGGACGTCGAGCGTGAGCTGCGTTTGACGGCATTCGCCTCCTGATGACATCAGCAGGGCTAACTGTCCTTGGCAGCTTTTACTCACAGCTTTGCCGTCCCTCCCTGCCAATCTCATATTCTCTTCCTTCATCTCTCTCTTTCGGTCTCCTACATCGTTCCAAAGTCTCCCATTGTCTCTCTTCCCTCACTATTACTCACTTTACACCCTTTTATCACCCCCGTCCCAACTTGTCCCTTTTTTGGCCACTTACTTATCGGTTTGCTTCTAGTTCTTCCCTTGATAGTTTCTCAGCACTTACCTTGTGTTTTTTTTTCTCTGATGTTGAGTTGCACTAGTCACCCCTCACCAGAAACACACCTGCTGTTTTCAGCACTAATAATCATGTTTGACAACAGGCTGGAGTCTCTAAAACAGCCGTTGGCATGATGGGAAACACAGTGCTGGTCCAGCTTTGTTTAAGATGCTTATGCTTACAGGCTTTGGCTGGGGTCAGAGTAATTTGTTTCCTCGAAGGTCTACTTATTAAAGCTTAAAATAGTCTTGCGCAAACCACTTTCCTCCATTTCTCTGG